ATTCCTGCTCAGTCTCCAGGCAGCAACAGAGTTTTGCATCATTTTAGTCCAAGACAAATGCAGCTGTCCCAGAGCCACCCTGTGTCTAATCAGGCAAGTCATTGAGATTGCCCTCATTAGGCAGGTACTGAGATACTACATAGGTTCCTGTAAGCTAGTAACTCATTGTTGTGAGACCAAAGTCAGATGGCCATACAACTACCATAAAAGGTTCTGGCATTATATCAAATGTCAATATACATAGCAGTATACTTACCAGACCTTTACAGACGTATGGCAGCATTAAGGAAGAGAGTATATAATTTATTGACCATAGGTACTATGAAGCATTCCTGAATGTTAAAATGTAATATGGCTACAGAGAGGTTAGAGTAAACATAGCAGATAGAAGAGAATTAGATGTGCTGTGTAGTCAGTTACACAGTATGAAGGAAGAAAAGCTTCTTTCACCCAGCTTCTCTAAGTAAGCGCATGCATATCACCATTAATTACTTGAGCATTGTTCACCTTGACAGACCTCCTTCCTCTTCCTGGCTTGGTACTTTGTGGTGGTGGGCTAATTGTTATAGACTCATGTGACATAAGCTGGATATTGCTTTCAGAATCCAGCTTTACTCCATTCTGCAGAGATACTCCTTTGGAAGGACCTTCCACAAACTGGTTTGACAGGCCTTCAAGAAAGCCATTCTGTTCTCTCTCTGGTACCCCATTTGGAGTTCTTGCTGCAGGCGACTTACTCTCAAGTGGCCACTGGCTTGTTAGTGCTTCTCCTTTTCCCCATAAAAGGTTCTGGCATTATATCAAATGTCAATATACATAGCAGTATACTTACCAGACCTTTACAGACGTATGGCAGCATTAAGGAAGAGAGTATATAATTTATTGACCATAGGTACTATGAAGCATTCCTGAATGTTAAAATGTAATATGGCTACAGAGAGGTTAGAGTAAACATAGCAGATAGAAGAGAATTAGATGTGCTGTGTAGTCAGTTACACAGTATGAAGGAAGAAAAGCTTCTTTCACCCAGCTTCTCTAAGTAAGCGCATGCATATCACCATTAATTACTTGAGCATTGTTCACCTTGACAGACCTCCTTCCTCTTCCTGGCTTGGTACTTTGTGGTGGTGGGCTAATTGTTATAGACTCATGTGACATAAGCTGGATATTGCTTTCAGAATCCAGCTTTACTCCATTCTGCAGAGATACTCCTTTGGAAGGACCTTCCACAAACTGGTTTGACAGGGCTTCAAGAAAGCCATTCTGTTCTCTCTCTGGTACCCCATTTGGAGTTCTTGCTGCAGGCAACTTACTCTCAAATGGCCACTGGCTTGTTAGTGCTTCTCGTTTGCCAGTTCTATTAGAAATCTGGTCAAACTGTTTACCAAAGTAGTCAATATCACCATTTGAAGCACCATTACCCACCGGTGTCAAGGTACTCAGACTTTCCTTCTTCTGATCAGCAGATTTTAGAGAATCAAATGAAGGCAGTGCAGATTGGTCCGGCTGTGCGAAAGGATCATCACTGAAAGGGTCTGGATTAGGTGTGGGAAAGAAGCTGAGATTGGTAGAGAAAGAACTCTCAGACAAGAAGGGTGGCTGTGGCTTTGGTTGTGGAAGAGAGGTTGTGATGCCATTCAAGAAGAGGTCCTCTTTTGTAAAAGTCTGTTTGGTCTCAATTTCAGAATTTAGATCCACTAACAGAATCTCTTTAGCTTCCTATTTGTTCAGAAAGAAAAATAAAGTTAGTTTTATGTAGGACTTGCTGCATAGTACACAAGCTCAAGGAAAACAGCTGCGAAAGGAGAGATCCTAGTATCCAGTACATTATACTAATAAGTATTCAGTGTCACAATGAAGTTGCACTAAAGTTTCATTTTATAAGCCATTAAGGCAAGCACTGCTGTGGTCAAATCATAGCTACTACTTAGTGTCAGAAACTCAATGTTAAAAGCACCTGTTTTAAGATCCCTTAGTTAAATATCAGATGCTTATTCTACAGCCTAGACACTGTAGAGTCATTAAGCACTAGTTACACCTATGGTTTCACTTGAGTCAAGAACCCGTTTGATTTCTAGTCCTTTGTTTTGATAAGCTGTGAAATCATACTGCCTTAGTGTGACATCAAGTTGCAGTCTCAGCTTCAGACTGAGATTAGAGAGCTATTTGCTGGTGGAAGATGTTAACATGTTACCTTTCCACCAAGCAGGCAGTAGAAGGGTAAGACTTGGGCACTAGCTGGATTGACAACACCAATTGTGTCATGGCAGATAGTGACTTACAGTGCCAGAATAAACTAGTAGGATTTTTGGTGTTATACTGAGTTGTGACAAGGTTTATGCACACTTTTGTGGAGTTAGGCCACATCTTGAGCTAGGGCTACTCAACTAGAATGGCCAGAAGTCTACTCTCAGGGACTGACTTAAGGATTCACTTGTCCATAAAATGAGCTTCAGATTTAAAGGTCTTTAAGAGCATTTCAGTAATAGCTCTGGTAACAGCAGAGGCATGTACTGCTAGTACATGTTTCTAAGACATCTGACTGGAGAGGTGGGCCCGTGCAAGGCTCATGAAGTTCAACAACACCAAATGCAATCCCAGACATGGACACAGGCTGAGCAATGAGTGGATCAAGAGCAGCCCTGTGGATAAGCACTTGGGAGTACTGGTGGATGGAAAACTGAATGAGCCAGCAATGTGTACTCACAGTCCAGAAAGCCAATCACATCCTGGGCTGCATCCAAAGCAGCATGGCCAGCAGGTTGAGGGAGGCGATTCTACCCCTCTACTCTGCTCTTGAGACGCTGCCTAGAGCTCAGCTCTGGGGCCCCCAGCATAAGTCAGACATGGACCTGCTTGAACAGGTCCAGAGGGCTATGAAGATGATCAGAGGGCTGGAGCACTTCTATGAGGACAGGTTGAGACAGTTGGGATTATTTAGCATAAAGAGAAGGCTCTGGGGAGATTTTACAGCAGCCTTGCAGTACTTACTTAAAGAGGCCCAACAGAAAAGATGGGGAGTGACTCTATCAGAGAATGTAATAGGGCAAGGGGTAATAATTTTAAACTGAAAGACAGTAGATTTAGATTAAATATTCAGAAAAAAAATTTCTTTACTGTGAGGGTGGTGAGCACTGGAACATGTTGCCCAGAGAGTCTGTGGATGCCCCATCCCCAAAGCCAGGTTGGATGGGGCTGAGCAACCTGACTTAGTGAAAGGTGTCTCTGCCCATGACAGGGGGTGGAACTAGATTATATTTAAGGTCCCTTCCAACTCCAACCATTCTGATTCTACAACAAACAATACAGGATTATACATCACAGTTTCAAGTGAACTCTGCTGGATAAGAATGACATTAGCTACTCTAGTTAGCAAGTAGATATTACTATAGACTAATATACTATTATATAATATTATATAATACACTGATGATAGCTAGACAGATGTCTCAGTGAAACCAGAAACCATGACTAAATGTAAATACAGATCTTATTACTAGGACTAAGTTAGATCTCAAAGCAAGGACCATGACAACTAAGCTAGATTCTACTTACTGTGGGACTGCTCATATCAGGCGGTGTTGACATATCCCCAAACAAGTCCATCTGGTCAACTCCCTTAAAGTCAGAGATATAGAAAGAATTGGTATACGTTAGAGTTCTTGCAAGAGCAAGAATCAAGCATTATGCAGATCTACCATAAACACATCTATAAATACTGCGTTTCCCACACAATGTGGAAGCAGTAATTTATGAGCTTCTTAATGGCATCAGCATAAAGCTCTAAAATTTAACCTACCAGTTTTGTTTTGTCAGCTTGATCAGCAGGTAGTGCTTCACTACCATTCTGCAATAGATAGATAACAGTGTCAGCAATAATTGGAATATCAAAACTTGCCTTAAGCAAAGGACTTGGAGGTTTCAAAGAGCAAGTGATGGAAAGAGAAAATATGAGGGAGATCACTACTTAGTTCTGTAGGCCCTTTTACTCCCATTTCAATGTAATTGGGCATCTGATATTACTTCCATAATGCTGGCAGTGTAAAGAACAAAGCTAGTTGTGCAGCAGCAGTACCTAATTGAGTAGGGCTCAGTTGGAGTGACTTACCTGAGTCTTACTTGCTTCTTCACTCTGAAGAAGAAAAGAAGGCTTTTAGTACCTAGGCATCATGTAGAAATATCCAAAGCCTCTCACTTTGTAGATCTTACTAGATCTAGGAGGTAATCAAACTGCTGGTACAACTAACAACCAATAGCTTCAAGTGATCCTGGATTTAGACAGACCTCAGTGTCAAGTCTTACAAGTTTTCAAAAGTGAAACCAAAGCTGAAGCAAGCTTTATTTCTATGCAGACTAATACAGTTCCTGAAGTTTTACTTGCCTTTTTCTTGCATTCTTCTTCCTCCTTCTTCTTCATATTATATATTAGTTGGAAGAGGTCCTTAAGATCAACAACTAGAGGCTCAGCCTGAAAAAAGAATGTAGATTTTAGGCCATGTACTACTTCACAACTTGCTTCAGTAGAAGTCCATGGAGCAGCAAGCCAAACTTTCCTAAATGGTGCAACAGTAAGGTTGAGATAACAGGAAAAGCAAGAGTTTAAGGACTGTCTGGTCTCCACACAAGAGAGCTTATGCAGAATCCAAGGGTAATGGGGCACAACCAGCTTAGAACTGTTAACTCCACAGAGAAAGTGTCTGTATTTGTGCTAAGCCTGCTATGTTTTTGCTAAAAAGCCTGTAGCACAAGATTTCATAAGTGCATGGCAAGTCCTAATCATACTTCCTCAAAAGTGCAAAGTTTGTCCAAGCTCTCTGGTAATGTTATGAGAGGAAAAACATTTTCCATCCATCTGTTTTCTACCAGCTCCAACACTGAACCTGCAGAAAGCCTCTATAGCTAATACTATATTTATTTTAAACTGGATGCAAATAGTAAATCAGCAAGGCAAGCATAAGGTAAGATTATCGTCACCTCAAATGTGTAGAGCAGACACCAGCTTTAAGTGGTAACTGTACCAGGATGAGAGTTTAGTATTAATTAGAAAGGCATTGCATTCCCTGCACACCCATTAGTGGTTGCTGAGATGGTGGCAGGTTCAGCTATATTGATTTGGAACTTTTGCTTGAGTCATATAGCAGCTGTGTCAGTGTCTAGAGTAGGACAAGTGCTCCAGTTCAGCCACTACCTTTGGCTGAAGCAGAGAATCTGATGAACAGATCTCACTGTGTACATCTGAGCATCATGCTCTCCTAATTAAGGGGTTTAGGCATGCAGCTGCAGGAGAAGCTATCTCAAGAGTTATCAACTTGGACAAACAGTACAGCTGCAGCAGTCTAGAGCTTCAGAAGTCCTTACTTCTCAGCTAGACAAATATTATGTTAAAAACAACTAGCAGGAAGTCAAGAGCTGCCTACAGCTTGGCTAAGCCTATAGGCTGGCAAGCACCCCATGGTGAAAAGCTCCGAGAGAACAGACTACACTCTAGAGCACACACAGAAGGCTTTTGTACTTAGTCTACAATTCCAGTGAAGCCAGTGCAACACAGGACTCTGATAAACTAATAAAACAGGCTTAGGAGAAGGTGTTACAGCTGTTACTAAAGTAGTAACATGCTCCAACAAGGAGCCCCTCAGTCCCACCTGTAGTGGGTCTGAAGCTGCCAACAGCTTCTCCAGGAGGGCAGGCAGGGATGTGTATGAAGAAATTACTAACTTTGAAGTTTTGGCTCATCGAGTCATTATAGTGACTATTATGAAGACATTATAGTGACTATTATGAAGACATTATAGTGACTATTATGAAGACATTATAGTGACTATTATGAAGACATTATAGTGACAAGCTGATAAATATCCAACTTAAGTTCTGGTCATTTAGGAAGCTGCATAAAGCTCAGTAGTATTTTCAAGTAGCTTGTTTCCAATATTGTTTATGTACAAATTCTCTTCAGAGACAAGCCCTGTGTACAGGATTTCTGCATGGGGGAACTTATCACAGAAGGATCAGAATCCCTCCCAGAAGTAACTCTAGGAGGACCAGACCTGCCATACACTGGTCCCACAAATACTATCGCAGTTGAGCAAGTCTATTTTCACTGCTGCACAAGATAAAGTGTTATGAGAACTACAGTAGTGGAGTTCTAACATCATTCCTGTTAATTCCGAATGAAGCTCTGGCTATTTGACTCAAAAATTAGCATTCTCACTGACAGTAAGAGGTCACTGTACAGGAAAGCCCATGATAACAGCTCTGTTCATCTCACAACTTCTAAGATGCATGGACATGTTAAGCAAGGTTAGTCAAGTTAATCAAGGCTATTTGAGTGTTTTTATGCTGGACTACAGCAAAACCGAACAGCATCAAAGCCACTGACGATCCACATCAATCCCTACTGCCCTCCTATAGGGGAAGAGCTATCCGTTAGTGCTGGTATTCCCCCATACAGCTACCAACAAAACACTACACCCTATCACAAGTTAAGTGTTTACACAATAGCATTGCTCATAGCAAGTGGAAAAAGGTGTCTGATCCATACCTGTTGTGCTGTTTTGATGGCAAAAAATTGGTGCTGGCCTTCTCCTCCACAAATATAGCCAAAGGCACGATTGTCTGTTACATCCCGAGCAATAAAGGAGATTTTGTTCACTGGATGCTCATGCTCTATGACCTAGAATTGGGGAACAAAAAAACCCCAACTATTGGTTTTAATAACTATTCGTTTAAATTGCTGGAGACAGAATAGCTGCTCTCCTCTCTAGTTAGAATGATTGAGACTTAGAAGGCTTCAGTTCAAGACTCAGATTTATCAGCTTTTGACTAACCACAACACAATGTAGCTATCTTTCTGGCAGGTAGCTTCAGCATTACAACCCATTTCCCAAGCCAATTTTTGTATGTGGAAGGGTGGCATGAATTTAAAGAATCTAGTTCAGATTTGTCCAACTTCCAAGTAACTCAGTTGCTTTAAGGATCACATTAAGAGAATAAGTAATATCTTACCCCAGTTTTCTCATCTATTATCTTGATACCAGAGAGGGAGATGTTCACCCAGATCTTCTGTTTGTGTTGACCCTGGGAACGAGCTGCCACTGCTATTCCCTAAAAGAGGACGAATATCCAAGTATTGACAAGACTTCTGTTAGATTGAGCTTTAACTTGTTTCCTTACATTCCTCATGAGCCCATGGCTATGACTGTACTAGTACTAATCTAGTTATTCCTATGCAACTGTAAGTTAGAGCAGCACTCCTCTTGCAACATATGCCTGACCTCAGAACTAGATTGTGTTTCCTGTGTAAGTGTTTTTGAGCTCTACAATTCCTTATCTTAGTTCACAAAACTGCTGCAGTAGCAGCATCTTTACCAGCTTTCCTGGCCTGATTGAGGCTATGCGAGTGTTCTGCACTCCAGAAGTAATCTTTGTTGCTGCAGGGTCTCATTTATGCTTTGTCTTATCTGTATCTCTTGGTGTTACTATTGCCACAGGATGACAACTTGTGCTTTGAGGTCAGTGTTAAATTGCACAGAGTTCCCCCTTCCCCATCCAAAACTCAAGTTCACTCTTTGTGATCAAGTTCATTCTATTAGCATCCATACTGAATGCCTACAAGAGACCCAAAGGAGCATTCCCAAGCTGTTAGAGAAACAGTCCTTTGAGCAAGGCATTACAGCTTTAGAAGTAACATCCATATAGGATGGTGCCGTTATTACTATGTCACCATTAAGCTGCATTTGAAGTTGTGCCAAAATGACCATTTGCTTTCTGAAGGCTACCCAGAAGTTGGTTCTTACATGCCAACTGAAGCCCTTACCTTCAACTTCATCATTGAATCCTGACTCATTTTGTCTCCTCTTGCCTCTGGAACATCATCAATGCCAATCAGTTTGGCTTTGTATTTTACACCATCACCTTTGAATCTGGCCAAGAGAGATTCATCTGTCTTTTCTGGCCCTGGAGACAGAGAAAAGTCTGTTTTTTATTTTTAAGAGAAATGTCTATGTTGTGGCTTTGAGATCCTTTTAAGGAATACCATACAAGTACATATTAAAATTTGACACTTGAGTATAGCTGACTAACAACCCTTAACCTTTCTAGTACTGTGTGCACTGCAAGATAGTTAATCCTCTAAGGTCACAATGCTCTTGCAGAATTTGGCCTCAGTTCAAAGAGTGGAGCCCAGTGCTTAATATTTGGGGACTTCAGAACAATTGTTTGGCACATAAAAGACTGAAATATTTATAGGCAACAGCCAAATACATGTAAGTGCTAAGCAAAAAACACCAAGCAGAAATAGTACTTCCCATAGCCATACAAGATGTTCAATAAGCCTTTCAGATGTCAGCCTCTAGCTCTGGTGTAATCCAATCTCTTTGGTGTGCAAGAATCTCCTAGTTTCTGTGATAGAGCTTCCTATCAGCACCATCATTTCCACAACAAGTCCTGGTATACCCATCCCTGTAATCATGTGGGATTTTAGCTAATTGCCTGTTTCTGCTGTTCCTGCTATTTCTCAGAACTGCTTGCTATTCTTCTCTGTATGCTCAACATACTCCAAGTGTATACCTAGGTATGTATTTCTGTATGAGGTATTTATATTTACATGACCCAATGTATCAAAAAAAAATCTATTCCTCTGATCTACAATGATTCTCATTAAATAAATTTTCTAGCTTCTCTGGACTAGAATCTGTATCTGTGTCCAGCACATCACTCCCTTTGTAGAGGAAGGAGAGGAAACAAGTTGAGGTTCAGACTGACAGCTACCTGGATGGTCCTGGGTCTGGTCACCTCTTTAAGAGGCTTTCACTTCCCCAGGCTTTTAGTGTATTTGTCAGATTCAAGAGAGTCATTTAACATGGAAGTGAGAGTTCAAAACTTAAAGCTAGGAAAAAACCTTTCAAGCTAAAAGCCTACCTTCTGGTTAGATTTATTTTACTAGCTTATTTACTCAGTCTTCCAGTCAGCTTGAAACCTTGGTGTTACCTTAACTATGTTGTGAGAGTGATCTTAGTTTTAGGCAAGTGCAAAAGATTAAGGACACTGACTAGAGAAGGGGGTTAAGACATAAGCATTTCTTACCTTTCTTCTTTTCTTTCTTTGAAGGTTGTGCTTTTGGTGGAGCCTGTTGCTCAGGCTGGGTGTTGACAGTAGTAGTTTCAGCTTCAGTAGACATGATGAGATGGTCAGGTATACTTGCTGTAGGTTTTAAAAATCCAAATAACAATCAGTAGGCAGGCATAATACTTTACCTTGAAGAAATACTAGTATTAGACCTGTTAGTCCAATTTTGTTCTGCTGAACACTGAAGCCCAGGAATGTCTGAAGGTTTTAGCAGTGATCATATCGGAAGTCTGACTCACTGCCTGTTCATCTCAGGCTACAGAGAGCATGAAGTTATGGCCACTGGGTGATGAACCCTCACCTCAGTAATACCTAATCAGTAGATCACACTGACCTACATCCACAGGCTGTACTTGCATCACCCTGTTTTAATCTATCAACCTTTAGCTTTTTACCCTTTAAAGCTATTTATAGAACCTCAGATATTTTGCTCTATTCTCCTTCAGCACTGCCAGTTGCATCTCTGTAGTAATATAGGAGAGAATGCAAGAAACGTTTGCTAGGATCTGTTCCAAACACCCATGAAGATAACACAACACCCAAAAGAAGCCACTAGATCTTATTCATGTTTCTTTAACTAGCCAAAGTTTGAGTTTATACCACCCAACAGATAAAAGCAAATAAATTCCTTAAGCTGCAGACAGACTGTTCCTGGGAAAAAAAAACCCAACAAAAACCAAAACAAACATACAAAACAAAACCCCAAATGAAAACCCCATGTCCTTGTCTTAACAGTAGTCCAGTGACCTTAGGTTTTTAAAAAACTTGCAAGTTAACGGGAACTATGGACTAGGATGACTTATCTCTATGCCATGAGACCCTTTTGCCTCAGATACAAGATACATTAAAAAAATAATCTGCAGTCTCCATGTTTTGTTTCTACACAGCTGAAGCATTGACACTTACCAAATAGAGGTATTTATATTGTCTTTATGGAGTTCTTAAGATTATCTATACCTAGTGAGAAAACACTGGACATTCATGTCTGCTACAGAAGCCGTTCTATGAATCTTCTGTTTGGGATACTGCAGTGGCTCCAGTTAGTCCCTTGAATTTTAGGGTGGCAAATGAAGCCAATAGACTGTTAGATGATTAAGTAGCTGGGCTACCCTTTACAAGTAATTTCCCCTATAGCCAGGCAGGCAGCCACAGATCAAGCCACCCCTTTTATCCAGCACACCAATTTGAGACACACTATGTACCCAGATACAAGTGCTGAAGCATGGTATATCCCATAGCATTAGAAGCTTGTACTTCTCAATAGTCTGTTCCTTTTTTACCTTACTTACAGCTAATGCTTTATCCATTACTTGGAAGTTACTTTCAGGGTTTAGCTCTCACTCTTGCCTTCCCCTCTTCCCTCGATTCATTACTAAGTCAACAGCTACAGATTGACTCCTCCAGCTTACCACTAACAGAGTAATGGATGTCAATGCTTAACTGATTCTTAACCTGTGAAGAATACAAATTCCTAGGTCTTTAAGAGAGAATTTCATCCTGAAGACCTTCATTTTCATTTAGCCATTTAGGGAACTAATGCCTTTAGGGAACTAGATCTAGCTGCTTACCAGATGGTTTGTGAACTGCATTTAGCATTGCTCAGGCAAATCAGAGATAAAAGTGCTCATATGGGAAAGATCTCTGGCATTTATACCTTTCTTCTCTGAGGAACTTACCTGGCCACAGATAGGGAACATTTGATGCAAGGGAACAAAGGTGTTTCTCTGAACAATTTCAAGTGATTCCGCGTAGAAATAGATGTTAGAGGAAGACTTGATACAGCAAGGCATGTTTATTTAGGAAATGTTATCACTGGAAGAATGGCTTGTGTGCCCATTCTGACGAAGGAGCAAGGGGGAAACTATTAGAACCAAAAGTGATTTTGCAGGATGCTTGCACCAGTGTTAAAAAGGACTGTGCCCACTGAAAACCACACGTTAATCAGTAAAATGAAGCCACCTTCTGAATTCTACTCAGACACTAGATATCTTGCCTGATGGTATAGTTTTGGGCGGAGATAGTCTTTAGACTTCCGTACAATGAGCCTCTCCCTATATTTATCAAGTCATTAGTTAACCACCCACCCATCTGGAAGGTTACTGTTTAGAGAACAGAAAGAAAAGGCCCAGAGAAGAACATAGCTAAGACATGCTCTCTAGGAGCTGAGTCATAGCTTTAGGACATTCTGCCCAGCTCCATGCTGGAAAGAAGTAGTAACAACCTCCAGGCACTGAGTCCTGCCTGTCAGTGATCCTGCTTCCCCAATTTAATTGGTAGAGCTACATCCAGCTCCGGTGTTATACAACCACAGTAAGTGTCTCACTCTGAAGTAATGTTAAGAGGCAACAACAAGTAAATACCCTAGAGAGGAGCAAATATGTACAAACAAGATTTCACTTTGGCAACTGTAAAGTGGTAGAAATCCAGATGGGCAGCTGCCATCTTTAGACTCTGGTTATTCCTCCATTATTGCCATCTGCCTCCATACTATGGAAACCAGACCACTTATCTGCATAAAGCCAGACAGCACAAAACCCCAAAGTGGAGGAAGATGGGCAGGAATACATGTAAGTCTATCGGAACCCTTGTAAATAGCCCTGTCTTATGGTGGAGAAGCTCATTCTCAGTGGTAGCAATGTTATTTGAGAAGGTTAGCAAGGGCCAGTTTACAGGACATGCTCTCCTATCTGAAGTCTGGCAGAACTCATCTCACCTGGTGAGAGTTCACAGTACTTGACAGTTATTCTTCATACCTTTGGAGAACTCAATATCTTTAAGAAACATATCTCTGTATGAAGATAATTAGCAAAGCTAAGAATGCAGGATAGACAAAGGCTGCCTTAATACACATTCATATTTTTAATAACTATTCCTTGACATCTTAAGTCACAAGGCTTGTACTAAATTGCCTCAGGCCTTACCTTAAAGTTTCACTGGGGCAGGGAGCAACTTTATGTAGCTTGAGCTGGCAGTGATCTAGTCTGCTCGGGGCACAAGAGTGTCAGCCACAGATGAACTTTGGATTCTATGCTTTAGACCCAAGTTAAAGCTCCGTAAGGTCTTTGTCACACTTAAGTTTGGCTTATTTTAGTGGAAAGTGCTGGTGTGCCCTATATGCAAGGAACTAAAATGAAGTTAAGATCTTCTATTTGTAGTTCTTGCAGTTGCTTGGAGGCTTCCTTTCACAATACTCAGTCCCTCAGTAGTTGCCTTACTCTGCAAGAGGAAGGCAACAATAGAATAGAACTGTTCTATTTCATTTGAATTCCAAGTTCATCTGGAAAGAGCCAGCCAACAGTATGGCAGAGTTAGAGATGCATGTGCTTTTATGCAAGGACAGTCATGCCTTCAGTTATACTGGCATAGCAGAGAAGATTGTTCCCACAGCAACTGTGTCAGCAGACTCTTAAGTGATGACTTTTGAATGTTCTCCATGTAGGTAAGCCTGTTGCTACCACTACATCTTAATTACTCGCTATACAGTTGTATGGCCCGTTTTAACTACTATGTTAAATGCACTATTTCAAAAGTCTTAGACTGCAGATGTATGGATGTTTCTACCCTTGGGAAGAAGTTCCCCAAGATCTTGCCTGTATCAGTAGATACACACCACATTTTACTCATCCACTTTTCAATTTACTCCAGAACAGGCTTCTTAAGGGACCACTGGTAGCATCTTCCTCCTTTCCGAGAGGGACTATCCTGTGAAGAGTGATTACTGATCACTCCGTAGTGAAAGGCCATTTCAGGCCCTCAACACATAGGTCTTGAAGTATGAGCTGTTACCTACTGTCTCAAATCAGGCAACTCTCCATTCAAGCATTGTACTTAATTTCCACACATCTACCCTGGGAAATTCTGTCTTAACAGTCATCACTTAACAGTCTGCTGACATAGTTGCTGTGGGAACAATCTTCTCTGCTATGCCAGTATAACTGAAGGCATGACTGTCCTTGCATAAAAGCGCATGCATCTCTAACCCTGCCATACTGCTATCTGGCTCTTTCCAGATGAACTTGGAATTCAAGTGAAATAGAACAGTTCTAGTCTGTTGTTGCCTTACTCTTGCATACCATGCTCTTGGTAGTGACCAAGTCATCCTTGAAATACCTGTTTCTTAGCAAGACTTGAAGCACATGCCAAACAATTTTGTTGAGCAACATTTAGTTTCTTTGAAGCGATGCTTTCACAATTATCCCTTATTTGAGCAGGGGGTGACAACATGGCAGTACCTTTAATGATTATATTTGTCCTGTGCACAGGGGATTGAGAATCTTCATTAGCCTGCTGTGGGATTTAAAGACTGGACAATAATCCTCACCCAACAGACAGGCTTCTTCCCCTCAGACAGATATAATTGCCTCAATGTTGATGAAAGCTTGTCTGAGAAGAATTTAGGGACACTGAAAGTCAGAGGCAAGGCAGATAAACTAAACATCTGCTCAGCAGTCTAACACTTTGTCCTTTTCGCAGCCTGTGTTCCTTCCTTGTCCCTTGATACTGCAAGTACATGATTCAGCTTAAAGAGCTATTGCATGTAAATATTAACCTCAAATTAGAAGCTGAGAAGCCATGAGAGGACAAAAGAAGCTTTTACTGCCAAGTGCAATGTAGCCTGTTAGGATGAAGTAGTAACCGGAAGCACAGCAATAGTTCAAGTGCTGAACACACTTCCAAGGCAGATTGCTCCCTCCATATACCTTCCTGAAGAGTTAGTCAAGTTCTTCTGGGTAGAAGGTTATATTGGGACCTGTGCAATGTATCCTCAGAAATATCTCTAGCCATCAAATTCTTGAGAGAAGAGCTGTTTTGAGAAGTCTGGTAAACAAGCTGTCCACTTGAGTGAATTCAAGACTTCAGTTTTGCAGGCTAAGGAAATAGACTAAAGGCTAAACAGCAATACATACAATTACTAGCAAGAGTCAAAGCTGTAAAGCCAGATATATTTATAATAATGGACTTGGACTTAATAATGCTAACTTGGTTAGCAGCATTCTACCCACATTAGAAGTATAATAGTGCATTTGTGTGAGCCCCTGTATGACTGACTTGCATTTTCATCTAACAAATCCCTATGTACATAACTGAGTATCACATTTTCTGCCTAGCTCCTGCTGCAATGGGAGTG